GGCTGATCCCCCGGCTACCCCAGCCTCTGCACAACAGCTTACAAAAGCGGGTATCTTTGAAGAAAGTGTGCCCATCCTCCTTCCCCCAATTTGAGAGCCCTGTGCACCCCACTGGTTGCCTGCGTGCCCCTCCAGCCCTGCTCAGCAGCACAGACACTCTTTGGCTAAGCACAAGGCAGAGAGCAGAGAGCTGCTTACCCTGGGGAGCCTGCCAGGCTCTGTGGGACAAGCCAGGTCACGCTAGAGTAGGGGACAGGCATTTGGCTTGCTGGACACGGAGCCTGCCCGCTCCCCAGGAGTAATGCCAGGAAGCCTGTCCGAAGGCTGGACCTCCAGCAAGTGCTTTGCCACACCATTCCCCAGGCGGGTTAGAGGCTGGCACAGGCACCATTTCACCAGCTGCTGGCACAGGCACCATTTCGCCAGCTGGAACCGTGACTTTGTATTTCCAGGTCAGAACCTGGCTGGAGGGTTAGCATCTTTTACACCACGTGGGCAAGCTATTGCAAAATGCATTCCTGGAGAAAAATCAGGAGGCAGTGGTGTGCTATTAAAGGCTGTAATTTAACTGCCTGACATGCTGTGCTGCATTCCTCCTGCTCTTTTGGTTAAAAAAGCCCACCAAAATCCTCCTGGTTAGAGGAATCAGTAAGGCCTTTTGTGTTGCATGCAACCTTGAGGCCATTGTCTTAAATCAGCCTGGCATGGACATACATTCGGTCGATGTCACCTTCCCAACCAGGAGGACCGGAGACCTGCTTGCTACATGAAAGCCCAGTTTCTGAAGGATCAGACATCAGTAGGGACAGACGAGAGTCCTGAGCTGGCCGGGCCAGTGGGAAGCCTCTGTACTTCGCACCACTGCTCTCGTGCTTGGCCAGTGATGCACAAACAACTGTTTCAGTTACACTGCAAAATGCCTTTCAGTTACCAGGTTTGGGGAGGGGGGAAGCGAGTAGGAGAAAGGGAAAACGCTGTTCTCAAGAGGCAGCTGAACGTGGCAGCAGGTCACAGCTCATTTCAGAAGCCCAACAAGCATTTCGTTCTGAGTGTTGCGGAGCACGAAGGACTCCTGCAGCGAGGCCGCAGGTCTGCTGGTCTCACGCACCACCCCAAGGCACAGATCCCGCTGGCCTGCGCCAACGAGAGGGCTACAGGCACAGCTTACCCCATCCAGCCAGAGCAGATCAGGTCTGGAAGTCATGGAGAGGAAAGCAATCAGGGAATGCCACAAAGGCATTCTCCAGGGCACGACAGCGCATATGGGGAGGTGTGTTATCAGAAGAGAAGTTCCTCCCAAGCCAGTCACCCTGCTCATGCTTCAAGGACATCTGTTTGCATATCAGGACACCAGTAACTCTTGGCATGGTGTTCACCTGGGAGCCCTGGCTCTGCTGGCAGCCATCACACTGCCGAGCTGCCTGCATTCATCCCGCAGCTGCCCACCATGGGAAGCACCAGGGTTTCTGGGAACACGCCTTAAGCTGAGCTCCACTTGAAAGCAAGGGTAAGCTTAGATGAGAGTCGTCGCTGTGTGAAGGGGAGCAGGGCCACAGCTGAATCAGAGCTGAGATGCATGCTGCAGGACATGTACCCTTGCCTGCGCTTTCTCACCCAGCTCCTGCACGTTTCTCCCTGCTTTTCAATGTGCCTTGCAGACAGCCTGCCTTGCACTTCCCCCAGCATCCAGCCTTGCCTCTTCCTTGTCCCCCAACACAAGTCCACCCCTGCAGCTGCAACGCCTACCCCCAGGTGTGTCAGCAGAGCTCCCTTCTCTCCACCATCAAGGTTAGGTTTGGCAGCGGGTGGCTAGACAGGGAGAGGAGCGACAGAAAAGCACTTGCTGGGAGCAAACCTATAGCACTACCTATAGCCATCCATCCCACAGCCAGTTTGCTAAGCCTGGCAACAGCCAACAGCATTGAGCTTCCACTTATAGCACTTACAGCACTGAAAAAAAAGAGCAAGAAATACAGCATTTCCTATTAGTCCCCAAGCTGCAGGTTACTGCAGAGGGCACTGGAATAGGTACTCAGAAGTGGGGGCTGCTAAGCAGAGGGTGCTTGCTCGAAAGCACCCCCAAGTTTTGAGAGCTCCTGAAATATTAAATGTAAATATTACCACTAGAGGGTGTCAGGGACCCAGCTAGGGAGAGTCCCAGGGCCCGGTCGCCAGAAGGAGGAGGAAGTGGAGGAGGTGAGCCCAGAGATGCTCCCCTCTCGCCAGGGCAGTGCCCACGGGCATCCCTCCTCAGGCAGCCTGCACATACAACTCCAGTCAAACCCACCTCAAATGCACACACCTCTATAACGTGCAATCAATGAGCACTCGGTGAGCTAATTAAGGCTAACTTTAGGACAAGGAACTGGCTTACAGTGTCCCAGAAAACAAGCAGGGAGCAGAGACTGGAGTTCCCAGGTCCGGACTCAGTGCACACTTCAACGCACTCTCCTCCAAGCCCCAGGACCAGCTCCGTTTCCAGCAGCTGCCAGTGCCATGATGAACTCTGCCTCAGGCAGACAAAGACAACCCATGAGTCTCCCTTTTCCCCAGGCTGGCTCTGGTTTGTTCTTGGATCTCCAAAACCCCAACCAACCCCAAGGGGTAGGCTATCAAAGCTTTTATGTGCCAGACACAAAACAGAGAGCTACCAACATTTCATTTACTCCCAGGCAAGGCAGCAAAGCTGCCTGAGATGCTGCTTCCTTGCTAAGTGATGCAGGAGGAGTGTCAGGCTGGGAGCGAGAAGTTCCCTACCTTGAGCTGGTAAAACAATGCTGTGAAAATCACTTAGCACCATGGTAGCCTTACACTGTAGGCTCTTCAGGAGTAAAACAACTTATACAGGCTACCCAGCACAGTGGGACCATCTCCGGGCTACTGAAGGACAAGGAAAACCCACCAGCCTCTTCTTCCCTTGGATTTTGTTACAGCGCTTACCCTCCGATACACTTTAGAGGCACCCTATGGTGCTACCCTGTGTCCCCAGCTACCCACTTCATACTACCGGGACAGAGCTAAGCTTGCCAAGTGTTGTGTGAAATATTTAGGAAGAACAAATATACGTACTCCCTACTCCTAGGGAGCTGCTTCTGGCTGAGAAATACTGCTCTAGATTTTGCAGGGAATTAGTGCAAGAGTTATGTTTCCATCTGCCCCATGACATCTTGTTGCCCCGCAGGGATCCCAGCTCAGCACCACAAACCTCCTTCCCCAACCACTCTGGTTGTGCGTGCAAGACAGAAACAAGCTGCTCAAGAGGAACTGCAATACCAGTGCCACCAGTCCAGAGGCGAGAGCGCTGGCAGGCACCGAATGGCACCAGGAACAGCAACGCGGGCAGAAGAGCGAGGC